CTTACTTTCTAAGAAAAATGGGGAAAAGGCAGACGAATCTACAGTTTTGCAGAATGCGAACACATAAAAAAGTGGGGAACGCTTTTTTTTTTATAACTTTTACATGGAGACAGGGCATTGCCTCAAAGTTGTGTACTACGAAAAGCAACAATGTGACCCCCGCCTCGCACCCGACGACTCCTGGCCCCCAAAAAGTATCAAGTTCGTCTTAGGCCTCATAACCGAAGGAAGTCGTTGTTTACTACAAAACAGAAGAAAAGCAGAACATAATATTAAAGCGTGCGCGGCTTGCCAACTAGGCCGCGCGCCCGTGGCCTAACGGTTACCGTGCTTATCTTCCACGCAAGTAGCCGAGGTTCGATGCCTGGCCACGGATACACCTTTTTTTATTGTTTCTGTAATGTTGCGTTCTGGTGAATTCCAGAACCCTGTTGGCTTATTCGAGGTTAGAACGTTCCGCGCCGAACCTTCTACGCCGGCTGTTCCAGAAGCCCACGCGTGTACGTAACGAGCTCCGCGTGGAGAGCCGGAGTCAGTCCCGATCCTGCTGTTTCGCCGACATCGACGCCTGCGACGCCAACCTTCTGTTTTCTTCGCCCCATTATACGTTTAGTTTTTTAGTTTTTTCAGTTATTTAACGCCCCATCCTTTGTCATTCGTGACGTTATATTTATCCTTTAAAAGAAAAAAACACTATTTACAAAAACGAGAAACGATCTCGCCAGAAACCATGATGTTCGATGAAACTGTGTTTTACGAAACGGCTTAGATGAAATAGACCTTGAGGCACCCTAAATAGACCTATTGCTATATTACCCTAGCATCAAGGATAATGCAGCGATTGGGGTTGCACGCGCAACACGTGCTGGCCTCAGCATTAATTAGTAACGTTTCTAAAATAGATACCTAAAACAAATGGAGTCTTTCACGCACGTTCATTAATTCTTTATTTTGGTTACTTACTTTGAACCTTTTATACGGGGAAGGCGTGCGCGTGTGGCGCGTGGAACACCAATTCCTGCATTCTCCTTGATGCTTGGGTAATATAGCAAATGGTCTCTTGGGTTCAATCACATGGCCTTCACTTACATGACTTTGATGTAAGAGTTGGATAAAATATCGAGTGCAGCAGCAGAGCCAAACCTACGAATGCCCGTCCGCTCGAGACGTCTGACATGTTGACACGGTGTTGTCGCGGACCACAGCGAGGTCCTCGCGACCGGCAGTATTTGATCTTTACATGTACGACTGCGACTTGAAATTACCTTTAACAACTTGGTGATTTCGCTCGCTGTGTTTTCACAAACGCCCTTAGGACTAATGCGATATCTAAAGTGATGAGTGCCGAGCCTCAGCAGTCCTGGCATGATGCAGAGGTAATGCCAAAGTAAAGCGCTCCGTGGGCCAGTTGCATCGATATTTCCAACCTCTAAAATGACTGAAGGTTCGAACAGAATTTCGTGAATCATTTCTCTCCATTTCCAGTTTCACTCCATTTCCAGGTTCCTAGGGATGAGTGCGGGCGGCGGAGAAAAGCTCACCGGAGAAAAGCTCACCGGAGATGAGCTCACCGGAGAAAAGCTCACCGCAAAACCGGCAGAAGCGGAGAAAAGGTCACCGATATTTTTTTTAGCTTAGCTTTATTCTGCATAAAAAAGGCGCCGTCACTAGCTCCGTCAGATAAAGAGGTTTCTTTTTTGCGAGCTAATATAAATAGCGGTGTGTGAACTGCTTGAGCTCCACACATTGTGTTGTGCCTAATAAATAAGTAGGTGTTTGTTGATGTAATCAGTGCCGGCTACGCTGTTTTGTTTCTGTTAATTTCACGATCAAAACTTTAGTTGCGCGAACAGCTTTGTCGTGTCGTGTTTGTTGTCTTCACTCCGTCGTCGTTTGAGCGGTTTTCATCATGTATAGCGTTTACCAACTCGCCCAATTCGCTACCTGCCTTACAAAAGACTAGTTCTTATATAGCTCACGAGTAATAATGGTGACAGTGTGCACCTCTGAAGGTCATAGGTGGCTCCCCGTAGAAGGGTACAATCACACAAAGGGAACCTGTGGAAACATCAGCACAAACGGCTAGAAAGCGTGCATGTCCGTGGAAGAAAAAAGCTTTCATATCCTACTGACTGCTTTATTCTGTTTTCAAAGCTTAACAAAAGCTTCAAAGAGAATTTCAGGCACCGCGTTGTTGCGCATGCACTTTTGGATTTTCGGCATTTACAGCTTTGATTTTTAAGTTTTAGGCAGTCAGCATTAACTTTTTTTAGCTTTTTCCTGTTCTTCAAGTTCATAAAGTTTTTAGATAGGCTTTCGTTGCCTAAAGAGTAAGCCACAGAAAACACTCGCCCGTAATTATTAATTTGGGAGCAATATATCGAATAACCTTAACAAATATTACAAAAAAGGACATTTTCTTTTTTACAAAGCTGCCAAATTTTAATGATAATAAATTGATATATGTTACGCATGATCCAACAGCCTCTGTATAAAAAGAAGAAAAAATATCTATACACTTTTCTCCGCATACGCTCAATGGCCGGTGAGCTTTTCTCCGCATCCGGCGGTTTTGCGGTGAGCTTTTCTCCGGTGAGCTTATCTCCGGTGAGCTTATCTCCGGTGAGCTTATCTCCGGTGAGCTTTTCTCCGGTGAGCTTTTCTCCGGGATTCGATGAGTGCACCGTGCCTACATATGAAATAAAGATTGGATTAGACAAAACGTTGCGTGTTTTGTGGACTCACTTTTCTTCCTTTCTAAGGCAGCTTTCGAGAGATTTCAGAACTGACCGACATTGCTTGTAGGTATAAGAAAAGCGGCTTTTGTCGAGTCGACCAGTACGTGGCAGCACGGCGTGTTCACATTCTGTCAGCAGTTGCTGGCACTCAGGTGTCGCGAAAGTTTCTTACCATACATTTGGTGTGTCTATATAGGAAACTAACCTGAAACTCTACTCAAAAAGCTTTTTTTTTTTTTTTTCTAAATTGGGTGAATCTAGGAACCGAAATAAGGTATTTTCTGCTGAAACAAGAACTATACCCGTCGGTGCACCGATCTTATGTTTTTAAACTTGAATCGGTCATAGTATGCGACGAAGACCACTGCGGAGGTGGCCGCAGTACATGGCTCACTGATACGCAAACATATGACTTTATCTCAGTTTCGCTTGACATAGAATTGGCTCATTTCGAAAAAAAAAAAAGATATTTATAACTTTGTAAAAAATGTAATCACATGACCCAAAAATCAACCAGCGCACTTTCACTCTTTTACTATGTGCAACAGCGTTTACTTATTTGAGTGATTTGCGGTGGCGGCGTTTTGTCCAGGCGAACAAAACAAAACAAGAACGAATGCGGTGCTCGGTAAAGCGTTTCTTCTAGAGCCTTAGTGGCAATTCACTTTAGCGAAGTGATTAAGCGGAACGCGTAATCATGAAAGTTATTGTTTTAATATTTTTTTTAAAGCATAGCTTTGTGACTCTAGAACTACGCTTTGATCAGTACGCATATAAGACACAACACTATCTAAACTTGTGGTTATTGATTTTTTTGGCATTTCGGCAGTACAACATATAGTTCTGATACCGTGCCACTTCGAAAATGCACACCGATTTAGGAATCGGGGTGACCGTTGAAATCCGGTGCTCTAGAAGAAACGTTGGGACTCCAATGGCTGCTGATGGTATCGGGAACTGGTTCATTTCGTTTCTCTCTTCACACAAGGAGATCAGACACTTTTTAGAGTAAGTAGCTCTATTTTTCTAAGCACTGCTTCGCAGTAATGAAAAGAAGGCTCTGAGGGGCCGCTATTTAGGACGCAACGCCATTCTGACTTGTGGTAGACTATTTCGCAAGATTATGACACGACACATGGCGCATTTCGTTTTGTAATGACGATATCAACAGTCTACATATTATATGGAAATTGTGTCCTACGAAAAATTCTCGGAACGCGAAGAACTGAGCCAAATGAATCCAAAGTATCAGGCAGCTAAATGAAGCGTTCTCTAACCGCGTTTTTTTTTTTTCGTTTTTTTCCTAATCCGGTAAGAATAGGACAAAGGGCCCCCTTGGCGATGGCCTCGGAGGCCCACAACACTCCCCGCTATCCTCTTTTTGAACGGACAAAAAACAAAGCCATTCTCGGAGCTCGCAGGGTGGTGGGACGGGATGGGTGGGGTGGGGGGCTTTCAGGGTCAAGCGGTCCGCTGAGAACCGGAACAAAAAGTCGGGCTTTTTCTTTATTTTTATTTGGAAGCAGCACTATATCGCGTAAGCAGTTGAGTGGAAAGGCGTCCTCCCCAGAGCCATCTGGATTCTGAAAAAGTTCCTATCGGAGATGAAATTCTACTGAGATATCCTCTTAATGAGATATGACGTCTTTCAATGAATTCCATTTTTCTCTACTCACTCTTCGAACACGTTCGAACGCCGAACGCTGGCGTCCGGCTTTCGGCGTTCGCGTTCGAATACGTGCGAACAGTGAGGGGAGAAAAAGGCAGCTCGCTTCGCGTCTGTCCTCTAATCATTGCAGTCCGAGCTCGGCTTTCTGGCGTCCCGCGGGCTTTGATCTCCTCCTCTGCCCCAGTTTCTACCCGCATACCGTGTGGGTGCCACGTGACCTCCGGGAGGGGTGCTGGGACGCGCGGGGAGTGTAGTCGCGAGACAGGTTTACAGCACTGGATTGGTTGGGATCACTCGTAGAACCGCTGTCGTAAGGGGGCGCCCACCGTGTCAGGCCCGAGATTTCCGACTGACGCCTCGTCCTTCATCGTGATGCGGCAGACCATCAACCCAACCAATCCACTACGAGCAAGGCCAACAACTGAACCAGCTGCAGCGACCCTCTGAACTCGGCGAAATTGATCGTCAGTTAAATGAACGTAAGAGGTAGGCGTCACTATTGAGTTTAGTGGGAACATTTATTTGTTTATGCAAATTGCTTTATAGACGCTTATCTTAATTAAGGATAGCATAAGTGAAGCACCACCTAATGCATTTTTGGATTTCTTGATTTTTATTAACACTTAGGAATACAAAGATCACTAGAATCGCGGGCGTGTCGCAAAGAATAAAAGAACGATGTCGAAGGCAGTACCGAACGATTTGTCTGTAAAATAGTCATTCGATATATCTTAGGGATTGCTCAGGTGATGTATATAAAATTTGAAGGAGAGTATGATAAGCATGAAATTGCGATGGTGCCATCTGTGAACAGGCGTGGCATTTTCTAATCAGATCTGGCTCATGACGTCACTCTGATACTTACAAACCGAGTTAAGAGACCGGGTTCAGCACATTGCGTGGTTTTACATAAAATACGATGCAGTGGCAGCTTTTGTTTCTACCTTCCGACAGTATTTTGAAGAATAATGATCTTGATGAGTTGTAACATCCAACGACAATTTTTTTATAATACATTTTATGCACTTAAAGATATTGAAGAGCGTAAGCGCTTGACTGGATACGCATAACTTATGTTAGAAAACGGACAATTCGGAGGAGTGGAGGATGAGCCGTTCAACTTTAAAATAACAGGGATTGGACTTTTCTCTACGAGTCCTGCGAATATTGATTATAGTACGTTTATCAAAGTCAGTATCAGGGTGACTTTCCTTTTAAGTTGCTCCCTCGTGCTGTACTGAACGCGTCGACAAATCGTGTTTACATTTCAAAAGAGTTATTGCGCATTCCCGCAATATATAATTTAATTGAGATTACATATTTGAACTATTATCAAAATAGTTTATATATTCTTTGAAGACGCTTTTATTTTTAAAGCGGACATGCCGTCGACGCGAAAATATTAATGTTCGTTTCTATGGCATTTGTTTTTGGCAGTAACGGAGTACAACGTATTGGCAAAACATGATCGCAGATATGTCGCTTTCATTGTCGATATATAGTATAGTAATCATCCTCATGGCCCTAAAATAGTCATGTTAGAATAAACACGTCTGTAGAGCAAGAGCTGCTTTCAGAATTATTCCTGAAAACAATACAAATAAACGCCGTCTAGAAATAGATACCATTGGTACATCCCCTCACAATATATTCTCTGCATGGACCCGGTTCGCATAACAGTGCGGTTCGGTAAAAAAAAAAAAAAAATGTTTTGTCAGCTAAACAACATGACTACCTTTCTACCCATCAGACTGAATAAATAAACTTCATGACTATTTCAGGGCACAATTTATCAACACAGCTGGCAATTTAAGGTTAATGTTTCCATAAAACATTAAAAATAAAACGTTTCCAATTTTTCTACACAGCGCAGTTTTTTTTCGCAAGCAAAACAAGGGACAATGATAAGGCAAGTCTGAAAGACATTTGAAGAAAACGCAAGAAAACAGCATGATGTTCTAGTTTTTTCTACATTTCTTCTAGTTTTGTGTTTTGAGCCGCATACTTGTGTTCACAAAAAAACGACTTCTTAAGTCCCTAATATTTGTGGAAAAGTACAACGCTCGTAGGTTAAGAATCTGAATCGACATTGGATTCGAATCCCCCGCTCTTACGGAGGACTCTGGTCTACGGTTGTGATTTCAGGCAATGCGCAGCGCCTCTTCGGCTAGATATACGTGGGGCTTCTGCCATCGTGCTGCGGAAAGAGAACCTGCGGTTGCGCTGTGGTGCCGCACCATCCAGCTGCGCTCTCGAGAACCACGATGGTGTATGGCGGTGCAGGCGAGGGACCCGGCCGGCCGGATTTGCGTATGACGTCCGCGCCGACGTCACCACTTTCGTCGTATTCGTCGAGCTTGCCGTAATCTGTGACGTAGTATTGGTGCTGGGTGCGGTGCCTGTGCATCTCCAGCTGTGTCTTGTAGACGGCCATGCTGATGGTGACCATTGCAACGCTCGCAAAGAAGAGCGCCAGGCCCGAGGCGTAGACGGTGCGGTTGTTCAGCCAGGCGAATCCGACGACGAAGGTCAGAGTCCCCACCAGACCCAGTAGGAGTCCGGCCACCGTGACGGAAAGTGGCTTCCAAACGGCGGGCGCCTCGCAAGGTCCGGACATCTTTGGGGGATAGGCTTCCAGCATTGTTCCCTGCGTTATGTTGGGACTCAAGTGTTTTAGGAGACCCATGTGGCTTTCATTACAGCGACTGTGGGTAGCTTAATTCGGGCTTCTAGCGAAACCCTGTAAAAGCTTCTAGAAGATCAATGAAACATACCTTCGAAGATATTAGGGGGAAAAAGACGAACCAAAGAAAGGGCAAAAAATAAATAAAGGGAATTATAGAAACCGCAGTATTCTTCAGTAACCTTGCAGAAAGACTTGACACGTACTCCAACACCGTCATTACTTTGAAACAATCAATTGCTTCGCTTGAGGATAAGGGTCGCAATCTAAAAATTATAATGCGGAGGAATAATCTGCTATTCTTTGATATTCCGGATAGCTGAAACGGTGCTAAATAATAAAAAAGAAAAGAAAGAGATATAGAAAAGCCTTTCACCTCGATGATAGTGTTGAACGGGGCGAAATAATAAAAAAAAAATAACAGCTGAAAAACAAAAGCGTGGACCACGCGGTTGTCCTGTTGCAAGTGTTCAGTTAGTGGTCCTCGTTTTTTTTTTTTTTGTAGAGCTATTCCTATTAGGGAACAGGCCCACTCGTCACAGCCAAGTCGTCATAGGGAAACTGGCCATAGGTGAACTGGTCAAAGAGAGCATCTCGTTCTAGGTGAACTCGTAGTAGGGAAAGTGGTCGCAGTGACCTTCTCGTTCTTGGAGAGTTCGTCAAAGACTTTTTTTTTTATAGGGGGGAGGGGAAGGGGCGGGGGGGGGGGGGGGGGCTTTATTTTGGAAAGTGGTCGCATCGAACTTGTCGCAGTTTCAAACTTGACCTCTCCTTTTGCTTTTTTGCAGGGGACGGTTGTGGTCGGCTTTTCGGTGTTATCTTTACTTACGACGTCCCTTTGTTATTAAATCCTTTTCGAAAGCTTTGCTAGGTCGGAACTTATAGTGCAATGATAAGACAGGGGTGCAATATGCAGACCTCCGCACCAGGATGCTAGGAAGTGTAGCAGTTAGGTTTCGTCTTTGAGAACGTCTTCTCTTTTCTCTATATCTACGCCGAAGGGGTTTTTCATTCGAAGTGGCTTCGAATACGTATATATAAAGGGACGAAATTTGCGGACCTTCAGAGAGCACGAGCGCATTTGGTATGATGGACCGAATTAAAACCCAGCGTGACGCTCCCATGCTGTGCGAAAGGTATTCTTATACGCTTAGCCGAAAAGAACCCGACGCTGCGTACTCGGTCTGTAGATATAGAAAGCATTGCAAAGGCCAAAGCCATCACCCTCAGATGCACTATGACGGCTTGCCCCACTCGGTGAGTTTACTTATGATGAGTTGGCTTGTGATCAGTTCTCCTAGACCCAATAGTTTCATGTTTCAGAGCGGTTGTTATAATCGGTCATGGGCTAATGAATTTGCTTCCCTTAATAGCACGAGCGCGCACGCCCAACCAAAGCACGGCGGAAGCTAACGTGCGCGCTCTTTGCTTGTCCCCGACAATAGACCATTCTCAGGTACGGCGCAGAGTGCGATATTTACAGCCCAGCATGTGCGTGTTTGTCGCTTCGGAAAGAGAGCAAAGCATGCGCCATACGCACAAACTCTTCGAGATGGCAGCAGAAGCTCTTTTTGAGAAAACTCTATACAAGACCATGTCGTGCTTTTATTTTTTAGTTGTAAATTACTATTTTTCATCAGTTATCGAAGCCGGATTGCAAACGCAAGATGGGCGAAAAAGGTAAATTGTGACGAACTGGACAAGTGCCCAGTTGCCCTCTGTTACGACTTCCCCGTGTACGAGATGCCCTTTGACGACTTGCCCTGTTTGACGAGTTTACCTATGACGAGTTGGCTGCAACGAGTCGGCTTGTGACGTGTTCTCCTAGACCCATTCCTATTATGTGAAACTTTTCATCTTGGTCATGTTGCACGACAAATTAGGTATTGAATACGCTGGAATAGACAGGGTTTAGAGGACTGGGAAACCGCGTATAGGTAAAACAATGCCTGCGATAATTACTGGTGTTTAATGTCAAAAGAAAACAGTAAAGTAAATTCACGGAAACTGTAACGATTTAGAACTTTAGTATTGCAATATTTATAATTTTATGTCAGATAAAAAGAAAGCTTCTCTGGAATATCGCCAAAGACCTTAAAAAGGACGATAATGTCATGCTATGATTTAAAAACATGTTGGGAAATAACACACGCATTAATTGATTAGAGCCTGGCAGTGAAACGGCAGATGCACGTAACCCCGCGATGAATGACAACAGTGAAAACTTTTTCTATCACTGATATGAATGCAAATACAAGCATCACTGTAAATAAACCTGTTGAAATAGAACATACGTTACTGTCCGATTATCTATATACAGTTTTGAGAGAAACGGGGTTGCATGCTAACATCAACGACAAAAATTCTGACCATCATCGTATCAAATACTACGAGAAGACGTGGAGTTGAGAGCGGGTACAACAGCAAAAATTATTTTGAAGGTATGGATGCAAGGTTAGTCCAACATAATTTAATCATTGAGTCGGTTCGGGCCAGTTTGCATATTCACAATGGCATCAAAGCGGTCTACCGGCCACCAGAAGCTTCAGAAGGTGTACTAGGAAAACGACTACATGACGTTGGACATATGCAGACAATGTTTTGTAAATGATTTAATTGCCGGTTATTTTAATCTTCAAAATTATACCTAGGAATCATTAGCAAATTTGAAATATGATTGCTGAACTTTTGAACATTTGACTATGAATAATATTTCTTTTCATAATAGTAACTTGTCGCATATCGTTTTCTACCACGAGAATGTCAAATGCAAGCACACACGTGCAGACCTAGTTTTTATATCCAAACAGCTGCTGAGTAAGACGTTTTCTTGCCATGTTAAGACGGGATCACCATTTGATTTGGTATAAATGCGTACGTTGAACTTATTACGAAGAAGACAGACCGAGTTGTTAAAATGTCTGATTACACTGGGGTATTGAACGAAAATGTGTAGTCCACCTGAAATTGTCGTTTGATGATTTCTGAGAATTAGGTAGAGGTAACATCAATATTGATGATATTTGGATTTCGTTTAAAACACAGTTAACACCTGTATAGATAGATTTGTGCCCACACTGCCAATCCATTCAGAACGTAACCCTTACATCTTAAGGCATAAAACTTGCATATTAAGCTTAAAATTATTAGGTTCAGTCTTCTTAAATGACGCTGGGTCAACGCAAACATACAATTACGAAGGCAACTAAGGTCAATAATGCACAAGTCAAAACATTACTTCCACAATGTGACCATATATTTTTAGTGTACAATCCTTTGGCGATATTTAACAGTATAAAAGACACCCGTTAATTCTATACCACAAAATTGGATAGACACTGAAGATTTCCGAGAGATTGCTAGCTAATTGAACCAGTACTTTTCTTCAGTGTATATACTGATAACAACAACATTACAGCAATTGAAGTTTCCAAGTTAGTATTCTGGATGCTGCAATAACCAACGTAGGGAAGGAATCTTTGCAACATTCCTTAACGTTGACAAAAAAAAGAAGAAAAAAAAAAAAGAAAAGGAATCTCTTATGATTTTAACCATAATTTTGAAGCGACATCTGAGGTCATGCTTAAATTTATTGCTTTTACTTCTCAACGTGTAAATTAAAGCAGAATAAGCTCCTGAGAATTAGAAACGTGTTAAAATGGTTCTTTTCTATTTTAAACAAAATGTATTTCTTACGTTAATATGAACGCCATATTCCTATCTAACTTAGCAGCGGAAACTTGCTGCTGGTTTTGAGGCATATTGTTTTCTTTCTTGATTAATTTGTTATTGTTTGTTTGTTTGTAAAATGTTCTGCAGTGTTACTCTATATTGTCCCAACCTACTTGGGCCTACAAATGGCCTGCAGTATATTGTAAATAAATAAATGTATTGTTATTATTGTTTTATATTGGTCTTCGTCGATGTATCAACGGTTTCATAACGTGCACTCACAGTTAATGACTTCGGAAAAAAACAAGTGATGCTGTTTGTCGGACGGACGTAATTCCTATTGATTTTGCGAAGCTTTTCGACACGGTGCCTACACAAAGATGCCTTTAAGTCGAAATCATTGTTAAACAACAAATTGCGCACTCAATTTATAACTTCGCAAAAACAATCGATGGTGTTTACAAGACTGGCCTTTTTTCTTTTCCTACTCGATCCTCTCTGACAAACGTCTACATACTTCAGGCTTACAGATTAATTACTCGTACCCATCATATAAAATATCTAACTTCATAACAAAAATAGGTTCCGGGACCGGAATCTTAATCCGGGCCTTCCAATTCCTGGCGAGGGAGGTCAAAAGAGGTTCTTCAAAATTGCACCTCAAAAGGAAGGTAACAACTTCCATCTGTCTGTATGTATATTTCTGAATTACGTTGCCTCCTTGATCGACATTTATGTACAATAGAGACGATACAAAGAACACGCCCCTGCCTTCTTAGTAACACAACATTCTTTGAAGACAGAAGAACGGACCTAGTGGCCCTCAAGCAAGATAGGTTGCTGGGCTAGTTGGTTCAGCTTAGTGAAACATATAAAATAGCGCGAGAAAAAACAGGGACACAAAGTAAACAGATCAATGGCACTCACCTCGTTGAGCCGAAAGGCCTAGCTTAGAACGTAGGAGGGCATACGCAGCATCCGGAAAGGACAGCACTATATTCGCAGCTTCAATACTATGCTGGAAATAAAGGTGACTGAGACGGAATGTTTGGGTCCCGTGTCGCGTGTTTATTGTCTGCTTATCGCTGGAAAAGTACGTCTCTTATCTCCGGCACGAGGAGACGGCTTGAGTTTTAGCGACAAGCAACGTGTTTGCTCGACGCGTCTCTTCGGATCTGCCCCGCAAAAAGGAACACTGGACAAATGTTGCGAGAGGATTTGAACGGATGCGTAAACTCTACAATGGAGCGAATTAAAATATTTACATACGAAATAATGCTATGAAGAATCTGATTGCGTGATTTTGTAGGAATGTGCTTAATGCCTGACGTAGACTAATTGTTTAATACCATCGTTTTCTTTATTCACAAACTACATGATCATCTTCTGATTTTATGTTCTGATACTAAAATGATTCTGCCCTTTATGAGCAATTATGTTGCGAACAAACATGTTGAGACGTACGCTATTGGATCATTTAGGACCCTTCCCATGCTACATGAATATACTAGAATTTAAATGAAAATATCAGTTATTTTTGGAGGAGAATCTAGCGACCTATTAACAATGGAGCTAATGAAGAACTATCCACATTTAAAAATTAAAAATGATCAAAAGTAGGTACAGCGTTGACAAAAATTTTGAAGTCATATTTTGGCACGTTGCATCCGGGGTTCCCCAGGGTAGTATTCTCGGTCCTCTGTTGTTTTTAATATACATAAATGACCTTCCTTCTTCCATAAACTCCACAATTAGGCTCTTCGCCGACGACTGCGTTATTTACCGAGAAATTATTACAAATAACGATTCATCTCTACTTTAAGACGATTTAAATACTATATCTTCTTGGTGCTCTAGGTGGCAGATGAACATAAACGCTCACAAATGTAAACAAATGTCCATCACTAAGTCTTCTACAGTAACACAATCACAATATTTACTGTTATCACAAACCCCCGGAACATGTAACATTGCATAAGTACTTGGGCTTATATTTTACAGACACTCTATCATGGAACTACCACATTGAATACATTACAAGCAGTGCCTTGAAAACGCTTGGCTTCTTGCGACGAACATTATATCTTGCCCCAACTAAAACAAAACTACTCGCATACAAGACAATAGTCCTTCCCAAATTAGAGTATGCATGCACCATTTGGAACCCCCACCAAACGTACCTTCTTTAAAAACTGGAATCTGTAAAAAAAAAAAAAAAAAAAAAACATTAAGATTTATATGCAACAACTACTCACCGGAAACTAATTTCTCGGCCTTAAAAATAGCAATAATTTCTCTCCTCTTGAACTTAGACGTAAAATAGCTCGGCTTTGTTTTTTTCATAGCATCCATTACAGCGATTCGCCTATTTAAACCAGTTTATTGCCCCCTGCCAGTTTTGCATCGCCAAGACTAGGTCATTGTCGGCAACTATAGAACCATTCTTGAGTCGCACTAACACTTTCCTTTTCTCCCCCTTATTACTTTGTATGAGAGACTGGAATGCGTTACCTGATAAAATTGTTAGTGACAGCAATCCCATTTCATTTAGGTATTAGTGTTCACTATTGTATAATTACTCACCTTGATTATGTTTTTGTATAATAGCTTTTGTGCTTTCTTTGTGCTTTATTCTTTCTTTATTTCGCTTTGTTCGACGACATTGGGTGCATCCGCGATCACATTTCACTTTTCCGTGTTTTGCTATTCTCTTTTTTTTGTCTTTTTTTTTAACCTTTGTCATTTGTTTTGAATCTCCCCTCATGTAATGCGTTCATCGGACGCCCTTCAGGTGAATAAAATGAAATGAAATGAAATATCAAAGTAATGTAAAGCACCTACACGAGCAGATGCTGTGCCGTGTCTAGAAAATGAGGAGGAAACGGATTCTTTTCTCTTGTCATTTTCGTTCCCTTAAGTTCTTGAAAATGTTCACAAAAACTTATAACCACAGTCGCCTGAAGGAATTGCGTACAAACCCAGAAGGTCGCCGCGCTGGCGGGAAGACCAAGATAGACACAATTTTGGAGCCTCAAATAGCAGCCGACGTTCTGCTCCTAACTTTGCACAGAATAAAACAATATCAGGTTTTCTCTATTATTATGATGAATATTGTACAGCGGGCGGTGGTTAGGGACCCTTCCAGGAAAAATACGTCGGCGTTCGTACGCAAAAATTCACGTGATCACGGAAAGAGTGATAGCCCTACTGCGCTATCACTTTCTCCCGATTGCCATCGCACCACACAAAATTACGTCATCTCTGCCAGCCTTGTGCGTAACGAATTACAAGTAACTGATTCCATATAATCAATTACATTTTATTGTAATCTTTTAAAGCTTCTATTACTTTTCTTTCGCGGTAACGTTCGCCGTAATTCAGTTACAATTTTTCTGTAATCAATTACAAGTAATCAGTTATATGTTTCCGCAAGAGCTAAAATTATTGAGTTGAGGCAAAGTGGACGACAACTGAAGGACGTCGCCAGGAGCTTCATTGCCTTCTGGCAGACGAGCTCAGGCGTCGCTCTATGGTTGCGCAACGGCCGCCTTCTCGGCGGACGCTCCGGAGAATCCGTCCAAGGCAGACATGTACAAATTACTCAAAAAAGGTAGTTAAGTTAAGTTACTGAGTATCGAGACCAAAAGTAGTTAGAGTAGAGTAGAAATCACGCATTTGTAATAGTAATTGAGTAAACTACTAACTACTGTAAAAAAGTAGCGAGTTATTTTGAAGTTACTTTCGAAGTTACTTTTTATGTTCTTGTGGCACCAAAATGAACAGCAGTTTTGATCAGTGAAAAACCCTGCCAGCATGAAATATATGCAGTCATTTTATGACTTCCAAAATAGTTCATTCGCTTGCAGAAGCAATTGTCTTTCAAAGTTGTTATCGGAGAGTTTCCCCTTTTGACTTCTAATGACGTCCTCAGTCAATCTAAACAGACGTTCCACCGTGGCTGGATGCAAAGGCAGCGTTCAATTTCAGAAGCAGGCTGTGCAGGGTCTGGTAAGCGAGTGTCTGCACCTTTGGGGTCCATGACGAAACATGTGAGGCTTGCCTCGGCTAGAGAGTCTTTTATAACAAACTCTCCTCCTTTTTTCCTTTTTTCTTCGGCAAGTTGAGATTGTTATGACTGGCCCCTCTTTATTCTCACAACGTTCAGAGATTTTGCCGACCGAGTGCACCTGACCGTCAAGGAATGAAGTCTCGCGCCACGTCGATCAGATCATCCGGACGACTGCGCGTCTCGTTGCAGGGCCATAGCTACGCCACTGAAAAAAAAAAAAAAAAAAAAGAAAGAAAGAAAATAGATTTTCGCCGTTGACGTTGGGTCCAACAAAATGATCTCCCATAAGTGACTCGAAATCCTCCCCGGCGACTACGGTATCCTCACGCGCCTAAAGGGGTGTCAAACAGGACACTACAAAACGCACGACTCCGACAAATCGTGAAATTTGAAGCGGGCGCGTCCGCTTCAATTTTCACGATTTGTCGGAGTCGTGCGTTTTGTAGTGTCCTGTTTGGACACCCTTTAACACGCCCTGACAAGTAAAACGTTTTCAACAAAGAGGAGGTCTCCCTGGCGTGGAAGGTCGGAAGAACGCGAAAGATTACGTGAACAAGCATCGGCGCTCGTACAGTTGCAGCTGAAAGCGGGAACGTGTGCCCATGATCGGATTATCCGTATCTGCGCTTGTGCGCGCGGGAGTCCAGCTTTGCAAGGGAGTGTGCGCTGACGAGGAGGCGACCATGGGAACAGGCGCCCAGCTGCGAGGTCATTCCAGTGGTGCCTACCATCGAACCTACCACTTGAGTCAGAACTCACTAAAAACACGCAACATGAAAACAACAACAACCTTTGGAGTGTCCCCGTCTTTCACGGTTGCAGCTGGAGGCGCGGCGCCTGCTTGCATTACCGGATTAGGTCAATACCCGACCAAGGCTTGTTAAGAATCTCTGCGTTCGTGCGCGCCGGTGCTATGTTTTGGCTGCTCGTCGCCACCTTGGCCCAAGGACGCCTCTGATTCCGTTTCTACGCCTGCCGAGTATAAGTACGTGGGAACGGAATGTGGGGGGCCCCTTGTTCGGGAATACCACTTAATCTGCCAGCGTCTTATTTATTTCTGCGCTCAAACTTTTGTGATGAAAAAAAAAAATAATAATAGGATTAGATTTCGAAAGTAGTTAGTAATTTGAGTAGAAGTTACCTGAAAAACGTAGTTAAATTAAACTACTAATTACCCAAATAAAGTTGTAATTAAAAGTTACTAAGTTACTCGAAAAAGTAGTTAAACTACAGTAGTTTGAGTAGAGTAGTTGAACTACGTCCAAGTCTGGTCCAAGGACGATTTTTTCAGCATTTCGCTGCACTCGACTGAAACGCTTTCAACAGGCGGTCGCAACAGTGAAGCGCTTCGCTTCCTAAAGGACTCGAAAGCGTCCGTCGAAGCACTGCGGAACCACGAACTGGCACGCGAAGTGTGTGTGCCAGTGTGCTTCCCCCAAGCGCATTCGTCGAGAGGGTCTTCAGAGTCGAGGCAGACATCTTCACCGGGAAACGTGGGAAGATGACTTTCGAGAACTTCGAAGGACGACTGCCGTTGAAGCTTAGCAAGGTGTGATTGACAAAGAGAAACAAAATGTAATTGAAGCTTGGAACATATGTATGCATTTTTGATTTCATTATAAAAAGTAAAAAAAAAAGTAACGCGAAAAGTAATCTTTCTGATAATTTTTCAATAAATTTTGTTATGCAATAATTAATTACTGTAATCAGCCACAGCTTTCAATAAAGTAATTGTAATTGGTTACTTTTTTTCAGTAACGCGTGCAAAACTTTATGGCAAGGTGCTGCCCCCTCTTTCTTTCCCGCAGTGGCACCAGAACTATAAAGGGCACAGGACCCCGACTATAACGCACGAGAGGCAGCGCGTTTGCGCTTTCCACACATGTACGACTATTTATTCTATCTACTAAAAGAAAAGCTTACAAAACAAATATTATAAAAGCACATCGACTAAAAACAAGCCTCCCAAAATCACA